CCGTTGTAAACGAAGTTCGGCAGCGATTCTACATTCCGTGTCTCCGAGCGCTAGTAGATCAAGTGATGCGAGCCTGTGTGTGGTGCAAGATTCAAAAGGCGAAACCAATTGTTCCGAGAATGGCACCCTTACCAGGGCAGCGTTTGGCGGCGAGGGTCGATCCGTTTTCGTACGTCGGCATAGACTATTTTGGTCCACTGGAAGTGTCTATTGGGCGAATGAAGGAAAAGCGATGGGTGGCACTTTTCACGTGCCTAACTGTGCGAGCGGTACATTTGGAGGTGGCGTACAACTTGACGACTGAGTCGTGCAAAATGGCGATCAGGAGGTTCGTAAAGCGGCGTGGCAGTCCGATCGAGATCCTTTCGGATAACGGCACGAACTTTGTCGGTGCCAGTCGAGATCTGCTGAAGGAAATAAATCTAGCATGTGCGGATACCTTTACCGGTGCGAGGACTCGTTGGACTTTCAACCCACCGGCTGCCCCACACATGGGAGGTGCGTGGGAGAGAATGGTGCGCTCGGTGAAAGAGGCGCTAAAAACGTTCACAGATGGTCGGAAGCTGACGGACGAGATCCTGCAGACGGCACTGATCGAGGCGGAGAACCTGATCAACTCTCGTCCACTCACCTACGTGTCCACCAACGTGAAGGAAGACAAGGAAGCGTTGACGCCGAACCACTTTTTGCGTGGTCGTTCATCGGTCGAGTGTCTGCCGTCGAGGAATCCCATTGACCTGGCCAACACGTTGCGTAGTAGCTACCATCGCGCACAGTTCTTGGCGGATGGATTCTGGGATCGTTGGCAGAGGGAATACCTGCCGATGTTAAACAAGAGGTCTAAGTGGTTCGTGGATCAGCGACAAGTAGCGGTTGGAGATTTGGTGTTCGTGGCAGATGGAGAGAAGCGAAACGTCTGGGAGCGAGGCGTGGTGAAGAAGGTGTTCGTTGGGAGTGACGGAAGAGTCCGTTCAGCGTCCGTTCAGACAAGCAGAGGCGAGAAGGTCAGACCGGTAGCGAAGCTAGCCGTTCTGGAGGTCACTTCGAAGGAGTAATCCCCGTACTGTTCCTGATGGAACCAGCCACAGGGTTTACGGGCGGGGGAATGTTGCCGTTGCAGTCAGGCCTGAAAGGGTTGCGGTAGCATAACTACCGTGAACGCGCCCCTTTGATGCGCCTGTTTTTGACGTTTCTTGCCGTCGCTGTAGCAGTGAGGCGCATAGATGAATGTATTCACAAAGAGGTGCGATAGCGAGTGGGATAAGCTGAACACGGCCATCGCTTTCGCACTACTTTGTTTGTTTACCCCAGCAGCTGGCCTGGAAAGAGGAGAGTATAGACTCCATCGCGATAGATGTGTTTTTGTTGTTGCGAATTATGTTTTGTGCCGATTATTGTACCTAGTAAGTTGTGTAACTTGTAGTTTATTAGTTTATTTGTAGCTTTTTAAATATTGTGAAATCATAGATTGTTCGCCACTGTTGTACCAACAATCAATACGAAACTAACGATTTTAAATTGGCTCACCACTTTAGTAGCCTATTTTATTTATTTATTTATTTCGTCAACCAACGTAGACTAGTACAATTAATTAATACAGTTTTGTTTTCTTAAATATATATTTATATAAAAAAGTAGTGTCAGCTTTCTTGTCTTTTCTTTTATGAGTTGTTATTTCTTATGGAATAAAAATATTGCTTTAGTTTATGCCGAGACATTGTAAAGTCAATGGTTTCGCAGTGTTTATTGTAAGAGGCCATCATGCGGTTTAATGGCCCATATTTTGCATAATTTGTGCGATGATGTTTTATGGCAAATAAATTTCGATTTCGGAGTTGCCGAGTGGGTGCATGGAAATTTAATTTTGATAAAAGTTCTGTTGAGTCAATTCGCTGCGAAACGATATCATTTACAAATGAAACCATTGCATATTCACGACGCTCTTTTAATGTTTGTATGTTTATAAGCATGCAGCGTGCTTCATATGATGGAAGAGGAAATGAAGTCCAACCTAATTTACGAAGAGCGTATAATAGAAATTGTTTTTGTACTGATTCTAATCTTTCTTCGTGCGTGATTGAAAATGGAGACCATACAATGCTGCAATATTCCAGTATTGACCTCACATAGGCAATATATAGTGTTTTAATTGTGTAAGGGTCCTGAAAGTTATAGCAAAAGCGCTTGATAAAGCCTAGCATGTTATTTGCCCTGTGAATAATTGTATTGTAATGGTCTATGAAAGTTAGCTTAGAGTCTAAGATAATTCCTAAATCCCTAACTCTTTCACATTTGTCTACAGTTTGATTTCCTAATGCAATTGAAATATTTGAAGTTGTTCTTTTTCTACTAAATGATATTAAGTTACATTTTTTTACATTCAATTCTAGTAGACTTTTTTTGCACCATATGTAGAATATGTGTATTTCATTCCGGAATATATTGATGTCTTCTTCATTTCTTATTTCCAAAAAGAGCTTCATGTCGTCGGCATAAATAAGCAATTTAAGTTTTTTGAGAATGTAAGATATGTCGTTTACGTATAGAATAAAAAGGAGAGGTCCCAAATGAGAGCCTTGGGGGACGATTGGTCCCAAGCAAACGATTAACGTACCCTATTCTAGTTGAAATTCTATTACTACACTATGTTTGTTTTGATTCGCTATGAAAGTTTGACAGATAACATCAGGGGTGTGTGGATTCATGCAGAACATGCAGGGGTGAGTGAAATAGCTTGGGACTGCTTGGGATCGTTGTTCTGGTACTGAGTGAGCCAAAAATAATAATGATTTTCTTCGGGACCCAGTGGTCTTAGAGTTACCTCTATGGTTGTACCGCGGGAAGCAGATATGTTTTCATTTAGTGTATTACTGTTCAATTACCGTAAGTTAAATATTATGTAAAGGTGACATGTTGTTCAGTGTCTTTTATTTAATTAATTGATAGGACCTCGCTAAGCCCGCCGAACGTAGATTGGCATTGAGGAGTTGCAGGCGTTGAAAAACTAAATTGTAAGTTGTCGATTGTAAGTTTGTTTAATGTAAATAGTTGTTAATTTTGAATATATTTTAGTTGAGTTTGTCCGTCAAAAGACCTACTTTTGAAAATCGTTTTTCATTCGCACCGGAGGGGTGCGAACAATACTTATACCGTTTGCTACTGCTTGCTTGCAGCTGCAGGTGGCGATACAATGGAGATGTCGATAACGGCGATACAATGGATACGTCGTGATGATGGTGATCTTTCACCGGGATGGGTAGAGATGGACACTCGAAATAAACGGGCTCGCCGAATTTCGGTGCTTCGGAAACACGCGCGCTTATCACCTGGACACTGTACTGTGATGCGAAAAAAACCACGCGGGTGGAAACAAAATCACAAGTAATGCTTAGGCCGTTCGCAATGCTGAGTTTCAAAATTGTTTTAAACTACTCGTCAATTCTATAATTTGAAACTGTCAAAAATAAAACTGCAACACGATCAGCGCAACGCACAGTTCTAAAACATGTTTGTAATCATAAAGTTCCATAAACTTTAGGCCGTTCGCAATGCTGTTGTATTTTATAAGGACTGTTTCAATTTGAAACTAGAACAGAAACGCACCTCTCGCAATGCTGAGTTGCAGTTTCATTATTCGAGCACTATTTTGCACCAGATTTGCAACTGCTCGACTATTCTGTTTTATTTCTGAGCGAGTTTGAAACACGAATGGAACTCTGTTTCAAATTTCTTTGGATGTGTTGAAGATGTTTCGAAGAGCTCCACAAAAAAAACGAAGAACTTCATAGAGAACAGTAAAGTTTATGGAACTTGATGATTACAAACATGTTTTAGAACTGTGCGTTGCGCTGATCGTGTTGCAGTTTTATTTTTGACAGTTTCAAATTATAGAATTGACGAGTAGTTTGAAACAATTTTGAAACTCAGCATTGCGAACGGCCTTACTGTTCTCTATGAAGTTCTCCGTTTTTTATTTGTGGAGCTCTTCGAAACATCTTAAACACATCCAAAGAAATTTGAAACAGAGTTCCATTCGTGTTTCAAACTCGCTCAGAAATAAAACAGAATAGTCGAGCAGTTGCAAATCTGGTGCAAAATAGTGCTCGAATAATGAAACTGCAACCCAGCATTGCGAGACCCTAATAAAAAATAACCATAAACGAACGACAACCCAAATCATTGAACTATTCCACAAATGGTTTGGATGATACCCAGAACACGTCGTTAAGCAAATTAACCATACAATTTTTATTAGGGGAGGTGCGTTTCTGTTCTAGTTTCAAATTGAAACAGTCCTTATAAAATACAACAGCATTGCGAACGGCCTTATAAAATACAACAGCATTGCGAACGGCCTTAATGTCGTGTGAGAGACCGGGACCGTGTTAACTGACTCAGCGCTCGATACGGAATGAAAAAAAATACACTTCTATTGACGTTTGCTGGGTTTACACATAAATGTGTAAACGCAGTTTTCACATTTTATGAGTACACGGTAAGAAAAAAGTACCCAACGGCCAGTTCACTTTTACCTACTTTTGACTAGTTTGTCTTCTTTTCGCCTTCTAATGTTGTCAAAAACGGAGGAGCAAAACCACCCAACAGGGGTAGTAAAGTGTGGGAACTCAACGTTGAGTATAATCATGTTTACCTACTTTTGGGTACAACTAACTTACTTTTGGGTAGAAAGCGAGTGGAAAATTCCACACAAGTAAATGAAAACTACTTTGGCCCGCTTTACCTACTTTTGGGTTCCTGCACTATAGTGCTGAGATGAGTGAAAAGAACTTAATTTTGGGTACTTTTTTCTTACCGTGTAGGCTCCTATTTTCACTAAATGTGTGAAATTTTACACATTAATGTGTTAACGCTGGTTACCGTGAGGAGAAAAGGAGACAAACTAGTCAAAAGTAGGTAAAAGTGAGCTGACCGTGAGGACTTTTTTCTTACCGTGTAGTAACCTATTTGTAGATACTCTATCAAATCGTCTGTAGTTACGGTAGTTACTCTCCAAATACTGGGTATTATGCTCAAATAATATAATACTTATTAAGCTCAGGAAGAGCCTGAACATATTATCAGTACGGCGAAATTGACATTCTTACTTGAATCTCATGATAAACTAGTAATATGGTAAGTGTATATATTTACTTAATAGCGAAATTCGTTTGTTATTTAGTTCTAACCTGGATCGGGTATCAAGATTGGGTCTGCTTGTTTTCTGACAAACGTCAGTTTGCTCGTTTGTTTTTAAAACAGCTCAGGTTGAGGTTCGCATTGACAAAAAGTTCGGTTTCGCACTAGGTTGGAACTGGTTCCAACTCCAATAATAAACGAATTCGCTATAATTGTTACCTGTTTCTTGCTGATGTTTTTTTTTTACCTATATTTCCCACAGTACAAATATAGCTTAGTGTTTTTTGTGCTGTTCACATTAACGTGTTTTATTACTTCACTGGCGTACGATCCAGAAGATGTCGAGTTGAAAAATGTAATTCCACCCAACGGTACGTTTGCAGCATTTTACCCACGCGAAATGTATGGTATACGTAATGGAAACGCAAGAGCACCGTTCTCGCATGGAAGCTTCTTCAAGAACAGAAATCCTTCATTAGTTGATGTCCGTAACGCTGCTGCTTACGGATATCGTTTTGATGGTAAAAGGCGATTCCATTATCCTTGACGCATCCCATTTTCCTTGACGCATTCCATATTCCTTGCCGCATTCCATATTCCTTGCCGCATTCGATTTTTTGATCATTTTGTTTTAAACCTTAAGTTTATATCAAATGGAATTCCATTACTTAGCTTAACGTGTAATAAGAATGTATCATACTAGGTAATTAGAATATAGTTTGAAAATATAAATTGGCATGAAAACTTGTTTAAGCAGTTCTATGGGCAAAAATCAGTGCCAACATTTCAAAGGGGCGTAATTGCTTTTGTAAACAATGACTTTAGCTGTCGATTTCTCGCATCTTAAAGCTCACTCCTTCAAAATAACAATGCTAGATGATAGAGAAAACATTCCTCTACCTATTGGTGTCATTATTTATCATGAGTGAGTTTTTATTCGCGAGAAATCGACGGCTAAAGCCATTGTTTACAAATACAATTACGCCCCTTTGAAATGTTGGCAATGAAATGATGACTAACAATACACGGTGTTTCGCGAACACTCATTACTGGGTATAAAAATACCCATTTCCGCTAAAAGTGCCCCTCTTCATTTAATCGGTAAACTACACGCAGAAAAATCCATCGTTAAAACAAAAATATTTGAGGTAAATTTAAACGTAAACTCAGTTTGTTTTGGCCACAAAAATAAAAAAGCCTTATTTCAACGTTTAAAATAAAAATAATGTTACGTTTATTTTAAAAATATTCAAGCTTAAAATAAACGTGATAATTTTTGTTGTCAAAGTGAACAAAAATAAATTTATTTATTTTAAAAATGTTTTCTTTTTAAAAACAAACATAATTTTTAAACTATTTTAGTATTTGAAAGCGAGATACAGAAAAATAAAATGGATAGCATATAAATAAAATGTCTGCAGACAGGACATGTAAATTCCCGCTCTTTGTCGGGGTCGATTAAGGGTGGTCTGTGGATGTGGATGTGGATGTGGAACGTCGATCGGATTCATGTCAATGTTGTTCATTTGTTTTATCAAATTGTCACTCATTCACACACATTCATTTGTCAAATTGTCACTCTCAACTCAGTTTACCCATTTTTGGGTAGGTTCAGTTGTGACCGATCTGGGTGGATTGTACCCAAATTTGGTTGGTTTACAAATAGCGTGTATTCCATTTAGTGAATTTTCACTTACATTTTTGACACTTCGAAAATAAATTTTTCAAGAGCAAATTTTCATTACGTCGAAAGTAACAAAGGTAAACAAAGTCGAGCTATCAGTGTCAATCGATGTTCCTGCTATTACACTATACCTAGATAAAGCTGGAATTAGGGCGTAACAGCTTTTGTAAACAATGATTTCTTTTGATAATTTCTAGATAGTTAAGGCTTGCCAATGCAAATCAACAACACCATCGGGTAGGAGAAGACTTCCCCTACCCGACGGTTATGTTGGTTTGCGTGAGCGTGCCTTGAGTTCCTACACGCTAAGAAAAAAGTATGCAATAATGTTTAAATTTTAAACAGTTTCGAGAAAACCCGCACATATTCATAAAATGAATAAACGCTGTTTACTCATCGGATGAATAAACGCGTTTTTCTTGGTAATGGTTATATTTTAATCATTAATGAATAAAGACGTTTTTCTCGTAAGTGGTTAGTACTTATACACTGGAATGTTTTGTGTGTTTTTCTTATATTTTCAATATCTTAAACTAAGAAAAAATAAAAAAAATAAATTAATAAATATTACATCCGATTTCATTGGCAAGCGCTGGGCAAGATTGTTGATGAATGCCGACAGGATGTTAGCCATATCGGATGTTGGTCACGTCGGATTGCTGTTAACCTGTGTTGTAAGAGCTGATTCATCGATTGCGATCATCGTTGTATCTCGTTGGTTGTGTGATTCCGGAGGCGTCTGCGGGCTGCTGTGGAAGAGGTTGGATTATTTACAGGACTTGAACAATCTATAGATATACCTACCATCTTACTTTTCGCCATCATCTTCCGGTCCAATAAGTCGATTGATTGACAGCGGAGCATCTCCGGAACCAACCGATAAACTTCGTATTCTTCGTGTACTCGATGTAGTTCTTGGTGTCAATCGCCGGCACGACCTGCACTTGTCCGTAAGGAACTGGTGAACTGCTGATTGCGACATTTTCATTATCTACATAGTAAAATACAAAACAAAAGGGAAATGCTTACGTTTATAATTGTTGTTGGTGGGCTACCGCACCATGAAAATGCTGTAAATAGAAAGAAAATTATAATTCTAAATTGTTTATTAACATTATTTGTCTATAATTACTATACATGTATTTTACCATTGAACTAACCTGTGTCATTAATGCATAGACTCGTTTTTCCGTGAATTGTCAACTTGTCACTCCCAACACAGTTTACCCATTTTTGGGTAGGTTCAGTTTTGACTGATCTGGGTGGATTCTACCCAAATTTGGTAAGTTTTGAAATAGCGTGCACAGCCTTAAAATAGCGTGCACGGTAACCGCAAAATACCCAATAATGACTACACGGTAACCGCAACATACCCAATAATGGCTACAAAGTAAGCAATTTCGAGGGAAACTGGGACTACCCATTAAATGAGTAAAATTTTACTCATTTATGATTAATTACAACTATAAAAACAAGTAGTACACGGTAACCGCAAAATACCCAATAATGACTACAAATTAAGCATTTTAAAGGGAGACTGGGACTACCCATTAAATGAGTAACAATATTACCCATTTATAAGTATTTGTTACTCAAAATTGAATTCTTACTACTTATTTTTGTAGTTGTAATTACTAAATGGGTAAAATTTTACTCATTTAATGGGTAGTCCCATTTTCCCTCGAAAATGCTTACTTTGCAGTCATTATTAGGTATTTTGCGGTTACCGTGTAAGTCCTTTAAATTTGTCGAACCTCTTAACGGAATCCCTTTATGAAGAGCTTTGAGTGGGTTGGTTTATTTCCTTTAAATTCCGTTATAAATGCTTATCTTTGACAGATACGGGTATTTTGTCTACTGCTTGCAGTCTTCATCAGTGCCAAGTACTCAACACCAACGTAGTAAGTATTCATTTTTGAATAACAAATACCCATAAATGAGTAATATTTTTACTCATTTAATGGGTTGTCCCAGTCTCCCTTGAAAATGCTTACTTTGTAGTCATTATTGGGTATTTTGCGGTTACTGTGTATAAAAGACTCGATATTATTGACTATATATATACGCTAACTTGAAAGTACCCATTAAATGAGTATCTTGTACTGATTTTTAGAACTGGTTCTAAAATTTCAAAAAATGAGTATTTTCGTAATATTGAAAAATTGGTGCTTTTTACCCTTTTTTGAAAACATTTTCTGGAATAAAAATGTGTAAAAAATATTCATTACTGATTCAGTGTGAAAGTGACGCCATTTAAAAAAAAACGCAGAAGAAAATACACCGCTGAACTGCAAATCGGTAGAGTCTGACGACTGTAATTGTAATTTCCTAATCCGAGATACCCTACCGGTACGGAATGCCTAAAAGAACAGCTGAATCCGGAGGAATACGAGAAATTGGAAGGTAAGAATAGTTTTCATTTATTTTTTAATTTTTTTTCTGCAATTCATCCGATATTTAACAGGATTATCTTGTCCTGTTTTCGGATGCACTGTGTTTGTTCCAGGTTATCTGGACGAGTTAAAAAACCATGTAAAAATTCATAGATTGTACACAAGCTAAAAGGATCAGGTTCCATTAAGCTGCTCGTGTGGCTCAATACAGCTTTCATTTTTCATGAGGGGAAATCCCGACACAGCTAGTAGTGTGAACAAGGGGTAAGTAGGGTATAAATACGGGCTAGCTGAGCTCGTTGAAGCATTCTTGTGACGATTGTTGAAAGCAACGGATGTACAGCAGCAGCATCAGAAACAGCAACAGCAGGAACAGCATCAGCAGCAGAAATACCAGCAGCAGTGGAAGGAAGCAGATCAGCCGAGATTCGTAGGCTGGAAACCAAAAAAAAAAAATATATGAAGGTGATGAAAAAAAAAATGTCACCGGTAGGCTCCATGGCAGATTATCCAGTAAAGGGCCACCCACATTTGATCCGTTTGCGTTGCGTTGACGTAAATTTGACAGTTAGACAATAGATTTAGCTGTCACTTTGCGCAACGCGTCCGATCCGGATCTAATGTGCGTGGGCCTTAAGAGTAAGACGAAAAAAAAATGTCCCCGGTAGGCTCCCTGACGGAAGGGCAGTGGAGTAGGCCGGGAGATAAAAAAATAAAATCTTCCCGTCAGAAGGACGGTAGAGGAGAACTGTCTCTGGTAGGCTTCCTGGTAGAATGGCCAGTGAAGTACGCCGAAAGACGAAAACAAAACAAAATGTTCCCGGTAGGATCCCTGATGGAAGAGCAGTGGAGTAAACCGGGAGATGAAAGAAGTTCCCCGTCAGAAGGACGGTAGAGGAGATAATGTTTGGCAGGCTCCCTGACGCACTCAGTGATGGAGTAGCCGATAGAAGAATTGAAACAAACATTAAAAAAGTAGATAAAAAAATGCTCCTCGGAAAAAGGAGAAAGTTGAAAAAAAGACAATAAGGCAGTCCACGAGACAGTTGCGATCAGCTGACTTTTTTGTTTACCAAGAACTTTTGACAGATCACAGTAGAGCTGGCAGTTAATGCTCATATGAATTTCTGCTTTGTTTATGTTTACAGGAAAGTTTGAACATACTGAGAGGTAAGCACATATCATCGGTTAGAGACCTGTGTGTGAGAAAATTTGCGAAAAAATCTAAGGGCACCGGTGGGATTCGAATCCACAATTCCCATTCAGTACACGGGTGCATTGCCAATTATACAACCATAGAGGTAACTCTAAGACTAGTAGGTCCCAAAGAAACATGCTCAACTTTTTGGCTCAGCTCTGGTACAATCTTCGGTCCCAAGCTAATCGATTCACCCCTCGAAACATAGGAAAATCCACTAACCCCTCATTTTATCTGTCAAACTTTTATAGCGAATCAAAACAAACATAGTGTAGTACTGGAATTTTGACTAGAATGGGGTACGTAATCGATTTGCTTGGGACCAATAGGCTAGTCAAGTAGTGAGCCAATTTAAAATCGTTAGTTTCGTATTGATTGTTGATACAACCACAAACGAAGTGACAGACGACTTACTGGCGAAGAAATCCATTTAAATAATGTGTTCACTGTAATAGAATTTTCTTGGAAGCTTGTGCCATCATCCACCAGATGGGTTAGTTTTTTTTTGTTTTGATTTGAACAAAGTTGATTTTGTGTACAATGATTCTTTGACAGTGTGCAA